TCGCGTCGTGCCTGGACCCGATATCATGTGTCTACAGAGTGTGTCAAGTGATTGATCGATCCTTCTGCTTCCGAGGATCGACCTTTTGGGTTTCGTTCTCCGTGAAAGAGATAAGAGAGGAAACGAACGTCGATTAGACGGTCGGAAGAAAAGGAGGTTAGGTTTTCAAAGATCTCCTCCGATTGATAGACGTAGAAGAAGTGTGATTAGTTTTCTTTTCTTCCTTTTTTTTGCTTCTGATAATAAGAGGATATTAGTGCGTGAAATTCCGGTTTGTTCTAAAAAAAAGAATTAGGTAACAGATACGGTATATCGTTGATAAGCAAAAAGAAAAAAAAGTGTGATCAAGGTTTTTCGACGGACGGACAAGATTGACGTTCGTGGTGGAGGGCTGGCTAATGCACCGCGGCGGCGGTGTCGCCGGAAGCGGTGCTGGTGGAGCCGCTGGTATCGCCGGTGGATCGGCCGGAAGTGGCGCGTTACCCTCGACGAGCCACCGCGGCCTCGAACTGGAACATCCGTCGGCGATGCCCGGTGCACCGGGGTTCCATTGGGGGGCGGTGCTCGCCGGCCACCACGCGGCCGCCGCGGCGAGCATGATGCAGCCACCCCTGTCCGCGGCCGGTGAGTACACCCCCGCACCGGCACACCATGGGCCCGCACACCCCGCTATGCCCATGGACCTTCACGTTCATCAGGGATTCCCTTACTACAGGTTAGTCCAGACAACGATCTATCCTTGCAACGTTCATTTCTTTCCAGAAATTTTAGTTTGTTTAACACAAGGGTGATTTTTAGAGACCTGTGTTACGTTTGTCGTATGAGAATTGAAGTCGAATATTTTGTGACCGTTGTTTTTTAGAATAGGACAGCGATGCTTAACCCTTCCACAGTTTATCCCGTGTGAGACTCGGACAGAGCGTTAAATATCTATATTATTATCACAACTATCACGTAGAGTTACGTGTCCCGTGTTTCAAAAATGATCACACACGGCCTAACTGTTAAAAAGATACCTGTAAAATTTAAATTTTTCTGGGCGTAATTTATAATTTCATTAGACTGCCGAAGGGTGAACCTTGTTTATCTCGCTACACATATAAACTAATAACTAGAATTCTACGACACAGCAAAAAATATGTTTTTTCTCTGATCCGACAAAATGTAAACATTCTTAACTTGTTTTTAAAAACACAGCCGTGGATTTCTCACGGCACACCAGTTCAGAGTCAACGGAATAGAAGGTTGTTATTGTTTTTGCTCTTAGTGCTGTATACCTTTCTTAGAAAGCTTCAGTTATTCTCGTTACTTCTTTTAATACATACATCAATCGGTAGAGTGTTTATGCAATTATGACATACATGTAAACATGCAAAATACGCGAGATTAATGTCAGAATCTCCCAAGACGCGTAATCGACAACACCAATTCATAATACAGTCGGCAGGATTGTAACGTTGCTCGTACATTACACGCGCAAACATTCTCGATCCATCAATCAGAAACATACCGTATCATCGGCTTTCTTCGTTATTTTGCAACTGACATTCCCTTGTTTCCATATTGAGTGCACAGCCGTGTGCATAGGCAGGCAGTGTCAGTCTTGGGGATTTACCCTGTAAATATTTCTCTGCTAAACGAATACCCCCATGTTTACCCATTTCGAGCAAACAGCTTGCTTAAGTACCCCGGTCTGTCCCTTAGTTCCTATTAGACGAACGACGACGGGGTTCATTGACAGCGGAGATTTCACCGACCCACCAGTCCGACACCTTTAACCCCGAGATCATTTCACACAGAATCACCTGAGTTTTTTCTCGATCGAGATACAGACGAACTGGACAAAATCTCTCGGACGCCTCTCGAACCTGTCAGCTAGAATCGTAAACTCGTTGAGAGAAGAACACATGGTTCCAGATTGTGACTGTTGCGTCTTAAAAACCGGACAACGATGCCGCGGCCTATCAGACCTGTGGATCATAAATCGCGCAGAAATATCGGTGTTCCGCGCGAATAATTAGACGCGTTTGTTACCCCCTTCACGTGCGCGCAATAAATAATTCCCGAAGATCGGTAAACATTACGGAACTGAATAATTTATAAGACAGGATACAATAATTAAATGACCAATAGCTGGTTATGTAGTTCGATGCGTAACCATCCTCCTTTTCCTCCACTAACTCTCTCTTTCTCTCTTTCTTCATCTCTCTAGTTTTATGTATCCCGGTGGCGGTTATAATGAAACATAGAGCTTATAAAGTAACTTTTCATACGGTTCGAGGATGATTACGCGAAATAATATGTCGCTTGTTCGTGCGTAAATTACGGGAAACATGGGAGTAGAGCCACTGTCTCGCCAGTCCGCTTAACGCATCCTCGCGGATCCCTTTTGCGAGCATGCTCGACACGTACACCAGGTTTAATGTAATTTGGCACGAGTTGCAGGTTGAACGCCGTACACCGACGAAAGCCCGCTGGCAGAAATTACGGAAACGTTGTCTATCCATTGAACCATCGATTTATACTTCTTTTTTTGGGTTCTTTTTGCGAGAATTCCACGCGGGTCGTTTATTTCTTTTGCACTGTCGGTTAGGGAACGATTAAATCGCTAATACTGCGCGCTTCGCTATTATCATGCGATAAAGCTTGCCCGCTGACAAGCGGCAATTTGTCTTCGTGATTGGACATGAAATACCGCGGGGAAAAGAGAGCATAGGACGGTGGTTTTGTCGGATCTTCGCGGAGTTCCTTTTTGAATTTCGGGGGTGGAATGAGTGAAGTGTAGTTTCTGTGGTGTTGAGTTTGAAGGTAGAGATTTTAATTAGTTGATGGTGTGTCTTTCTCGGTTTTAGGAGAATCCAGCTTTTATTCTGTTAGTATTTCAATTCAGCATCTTGAGGATTCCTAGCTTAGGCTTCTCTCACTTGGTAGCCTTAGAGTAAGGATAAGATTTTATTATAGTCATGAACTGAAGCTGAAAGTGACCAATTAGTTACCTCATAAGGAAAACCAAATGTTCCCATTTTTCTTTCAAAATTGTATTCTGAAATTTCTCGTTCATTTTTCCTAAAAATCTTCCTGCCAGTGATCAGTCTAACCATGAAATAGTCACAGCTTGACAAATACTATCAGAACAGTTGGTCCGTACAATACACTCCAAAATGAATCTCATTGAACCTCCGATAGAAAATCCTGACAGAATCTCCAAATGATACGGAAACAACGATGGCGTAGGAACGTTCCACGTGAACGTCGTGCTCGCTGAAAAGACGTCCTGGAAGCCGTAATTCACGCGCAACCAGCACGACGAGATCTGAAAAGAGACACGCGTCGACGAGATATTATTCGAGGAAGTGGAATTGTCCGCGTCGCGTCGCGTCGTGAAACGTGCGTAAAGTTTTGAAATTTTCGGGATCGAGGGGCGTGTGGGGCGGCTGGAAGTAACTGGTTCAGCTGATAACGCAACGTTCACGGTGAAACCAGTTCGCCAGTGGACACGCGTGTATAATATTTATAAAGCCGATTTCTTCTCTCTCGCTCTCTCTCTTTCTCGTCGTGTAACCAGGTCCGTGGCGCGCGTTAATAAACTTCAGCTCGGACAAGTTTATCTCGTGCTAAGCGATTCTATCGGCTCGAACGTTTATCGCGGTCTCTCGCGTGGCGTCCGTGTGAGGATTCAATTAGTTATGACAACTTTCGTTTCGAATGAAGTTCACGCGCGGATAGAGTAATCGAAGATTGCCTCGTGGCTTTTGCTCTCGATGCTTCTTCTTTGATACGTCCTGTGACCGCTGGAAAACTAGCAGTTTCGACAGATCTTTAAAGTGCGGTTGAAAAACGTCGAGGTGATTTTATTTAACCCTTTCGCTGCTGCTCGCGCCTGTAGAAGCTTTGGAAAATTGCTCGACCAGTGTTGTTGGAAGCTTTTTGCTTAATTTGTAGCAAGAATCACTTGCGTTTGTGATGAAAATTCATACACGATTTTTCGTTCCGTGTTGAATTCTTTTCGAAGATACGAAATATTTTTACAGAGTCCGTCAGATTGCATCAGGCAATTATTCGAGTTATGTGTACAGTCAGATATTGTGTCAACTGTGCAAATACTGTCTCCAAGATTGGCTGCGTAAATATACACAAGTGGGTGGATTAAAGTGTAATTCTTCTGTGTATCATCTTCTCAGGATTGTTCCAGTTGAAGTATCATTGTACTCGATGACTATTTTGTTCACTTTAGAGATTTCGAAAAAATTTTAAATACGTGTAGTAGCCACACAATCAGAGTATTTTTAATAATTAGCATAAATTTGAGTATAACAGTATTAACTTAATGTTTTAGTGATTTTTTAAATTAGAATCATCCCTAGTACTACTTTACACAATTTTTGTATTATTTATTTCATCAATTTTTCAGAAGATTGATAAGGATATTCTTATCATAAAATTCATCAACCCCTTAATTTATAACACAGATTCTCGTCAAAATGCGACAGAAACGGTTACATTAGTAACAAAAAATTTAATTTCAATTCTAAGACTCAGGATTACCAAACGTACCTAATTAATCCACAATACATTAACTTCTCTTACCTAACACAGTACTAAAACAGTAAATAACTGACACAATCAGCAAGATGAATCTTAAATCAAGGGGGTTAAATCAAACAAACCCGTCAATTCCTCTAAACATCCCCCTATTCTGAAAACCCAACCACTACATTTACCCAGAACCATATCACAGTCCCAAGAAGAAGAAAAAACGAATTTCCCTCGATTTCTTCTCGCTACCAGCAAACGATTAATTTTCCTCAATAAGCCCTTGGCGAAACCTCTAACTCCGAGCCACCACACAATCTCGATCGGTTGACGAGCAAAACGAGAACTCGAGAACGGAACAATGTTCAGCCGGAGCCGGCGCGGGTTTCAATTTTCCCCGTCCGTAATGCACACTTGTACGGGCGCCACTTTGGCCCGTTATCAATTTTCTAGATTGCC